ACAATATAAATACATTAATGTAGCTATATTACTCATCTATAATTTTTTGAGTACAAAATTCTGGGAATTTTTGGTGAAAATAGGGTATTGGGCCTTGGTTCAGGAGCCAATCCCTCATTTATAAGATTGTTTCCTATGGGAAAATCAGTTCTGAGTTATAACGTTTCAACTTAAGCTGTGGTTTTCAGGACCAATTGTGTCATAAGTCTGAGGACTGCCTGTATTAGAATGGGCCATAAATTGGGTAGGATTTGAAGTAATCACAAAGTGTTGCATAGTTTCCCAGCAGACAGACCAGTAGGCAAAATATACACTGTAGGAAAAACTCTTGCAAATTTGAAATCATGGAGGTGTCCAAGATTTCTAGCTTTGGGACCATGGCCAGAAATAGATATAAGACAAATATAACACATTTTGTTGTGGGAGGATTTGATACAGGAGTTTGCAGATATTTGGAATACATAGGACACATATTCCTGATTAATATTTGTCGTGTGTTCTAATAGTGCCCACAATCTACTACACATTTTCCAAGGAGAAATAAAGACCCTCACTGTGGATCTTACACTGTAAGAAAACAATCAAGCAAAGGTAGGTGAGAGGGGCACAGCGTGTTAGGAAGGTGGACAGCTCATACTTAACTGCATCTTGTTCAAATAAAATTACATATACATTGTCCTCAGATCCAATCCCACCAAAAACAGATGACAAAATTATGCTCAGTTCCTGAAACCCGTCAAGATAAGCCAGCTAGTTTCTGTATGGGTCACACCAGCAGGAGTTTTTCACAAAGATCGTATTTGTGTTAGAGGTAGTAGAAGCCTTGTACATGAGATCAGGAAAGGTAATTCATGCAGTAAACCAGAAGGGTATGGAGGTGTTGGTATGAGAAGCTGACTAATGGATAGCTGAGGCTGGTACTGTTGGCGGAGGGAAGAGGAATGGCACAATATAAAACTAAGAAGTTACTTGGTAATTTAAAGTTGAACTTGGTGTGGGGAGTGGAAGGGTGGCATTGCCAGTGCCAAAACATTAAAAAATACTGTGTCATTGAAGCCAACAAATTCTGCTTGACTTTGTGACAGAAAAGTTTCTGGTATCCAGGCTTTTGACTATTTATTTTCTTGAAAACATTCTGAAGTTCTGGTTTCCATTTCAAAGTATAAAGGAACAGTTTTGAAACTTCAAAAGTTATGGCAAAAAGAATTAAGCACCTCAAGTGACCAGCGCCTAAATGCTGTTGGCATCCTGGTAAGAATCTAACTCTTAAGTCCTGTTCCTATGATCATAACAGGGTGCAGGTTGTACAAAGAGATCAATTTTAGTTATAAACAATCTTAATATATATTTCCCCCTTATTCACCAAGAATCATTTAATACCCCTAGATGAATGCACACTGTTTTCCTTCTATGTAGGCTGCTTCTCAGTTCAAAACAGGGAAAGGGCCCCCTCTAGGGGGCAAGTCACAAGGTAGATGACAGGAAAAAATGTGCTTGTTTGAAAAATCGTGGGGATGTCTGTCTTAAAGCATTGGTTCCAAGGGGGTTTGAATGACTTCACTCAAACAAAAATGAACAAGCAGAGCACTGAATACATAACTGAGTAAGAAGGACGTCAGCATTAGACTTGTAAGCTACACAGTGGGGAGGAGCACAGTCCCCAGTGTACAGGTTGCTGCTGTGGGTTCTGGCTTGGACCCTGTTAGAAATAAGCCCTTTCAACAGGCTGAAGTTACTGGATAAAACCCTGGCTTTTTCCTTGTGCTGCTTTGTTTGCTTTGAATCCAGGTACTAACAGAAAACAGTATGAAATGAACTGTGAATCAGACTCAATGTCACTGGAGTGCCCCCAGAGGTGAGTTTGCTAAGCCGGATGGCAAACTGAACTTGATGGCAATGCTATGTTCCAGTGGGTATGCACAATATCTGCACTGAATGTGCCACCTCTTCAACCAGGGAGGAGGCTGCTGGCTCTAGTCCTTTCAGCTCCTGCTGAATACATGCAACTGATTTTGATTCCTGTTTCAGAGAAATTATGAGGATGCACTACAGCTGCTAAGCGGTTTGTCTTCCCAAGACCTGTTCAAACCAGCGTTCAGCCCTCTGGACAAGATAAGTACTATGGTGATGGATGCTGGTCCTTTGAGAAATAAGGGGAGGCTCAATTAGAGCTGGGATGCAGAGGTCAGTAAAACCTTGTCACACTTGGCAGATGCCCCATGAGTCTTAGATGCTGGTCAGTAAAAAAACAGTGCCTTTTTGTAGGGTGCTTGTATTGCCAAACAACTGGAACAAAGCTGCTACATCCTGCAGCTGAGGCCTTCTTGGGCCCAGCCTAGGTTTCTGCCTCTGCAGTCCTGACCCCCACACATTAGGGCTAACCCAGCCCTGCCTCAGTGAGTGACAGTCTCCTTCACTAGTGCCTGAGGGAACAAAGGCCCATTCAGACCAGGGTGAGCTCTTTGCCAGACCCAGAGGACAACGGGCTCCTGTCAGAGAGATGCCATGGGTGGCCCAGCATGCCCCATGGTCTCTGCTGCCCTGCAGCCCCACGGCACCCACTGCAGGCTGGCAATCACACGTTGGAGGCTGTAGGCAGGAAGCGGGGGCTGCTCCAGCTCAAGGTGCCTCAAGGCTTAGAGCCAGCTCTTCCTGTGGGTCCCCCGCAGCCAATCTTGCCAACAGCAAAGTAACCACAGCACTACATCCCACTGCTTGGCTGGCACTCCTGCCTGTCCCCCCTGCTAGTCGCCAAAGTGGGGAGTGTGGCCTGTCAGGAGGTGCACGTGCACCCCCAGCGTATGGCCACAGTACAGAGCCCCCCTCCCCCCCTTCACCAGAGATGATGCTAATAATGATTTTTAAAATGACCATTTTCGGGCCCCCTTTCTGTCCGGGGCCGACACCCTCCCTCCTTCCCTCATGCTTGTGTCCGGCCCTGGGAGGCTGGATCCCAGCCGTGTCGTTGCTCCGGTTGGGGACCAGAGAACCCAAGCGGGCCCGTCGCTGCTCCGCGGGGCTGTGGGGAGCCGGGAGCGCGGGGGGGAGGGGCGGGGGGCGATCCAGCGCCCGCGGCTCAGCACCACCGGCCCGGGACAG